CCCCAAACACACCCCCCACACCCCAAACACACCCCTCCAACACCCCAAATACACCCCCAACACCCCAAACACACCTCCATACCCCAAACATACACCCCATACCTCAAACACACCCCCCAACACCCCAAACACACCGCTCCCCACAGCCCAAACATACCCAATCCCCACACTCCAACACACAATCCAGTTCTCTGAATTCTGAAGGAACTTCTTTCATTTGCATCATATTTCTTGCATTCATAATGCTTATTGTGTCACGTTTGCACTAATTTAGGGAATTACTTTTTCGAGAGTGAGTACCACATCCCCGTTATTCTTATTCATATGTTCTCTCATCAGCTGATGTGAAATAACAGTCACTGGCTGGGCCAGCATTCGTTGTCCAACCCTAATTGCACTTGCGAAGATAGTGGTGAGCTGCCTTCATGAATTGCTGCAGAACATGTGGGGCAGCTGGCTTACAATACCATTACAGAGGAAATTCCAGGATTTTGACCCAGTGACAATGAAGGAACAGCGATTTATTTCCAAGTCAGGATGGTGAGTGACTTGGAGATGACAGTGTTCCCATGTATCTGCTGTCCTTGTCCTTCTAGATGATAAAGATTGTTGGTTTGGAGGGTGCTTTTGGAAAAACCTTGGAAAAATCACTGTAATGCATCTCGTAGGTGGTACACAATGCTGTTACTGTGTGCTAATGATACTTCATAATGCCCTTGGATTCTCCTCTATCTGTGATTTTCTGTTATCAAGGTCTTGTTCCCAGTCAAAGCACCCACCCAGTACTCACGTTCCTCACCAATGGACACGTTCCCCAACGAGGCATGGTTTGGAAACCGTTTGCTTTCACTCTCACTGAGGCATCTTTCAATCCAACTTTCTGCAACAGAAAATAAATCCACCCATCACTCGATCTTCACCAGCTGAAAGTGGTTCTTTTCTAAGTCAGTGTAATTATTCACACATGCAGTCCTCAGTAAAACTGATGCTTCTGGTCACACCAGTCAGAATTGATTTGGATAGTGAAATCTGATGCGCCCACATTTAGTTTACTCCTATTTCATACGTTTTTATGCCGAAATTTGAGGCTGTAATCTTAATTAATCTTCTAGTCGATTTTTGATTTTGAATCCACATTTACAGAGGACATAGTCCCCCCACCTCTCTCCTTCTAGGAATTGAGTGTTAATGGTATGCCATTTATATTGCTGAGATATGCTTGTGAAGGTCATTGCTTAACTAAGTACCTATAGCACTCAAAGAGAGAGACCGATATGCAGTGAGCTCTGGGCTGGTATCATCTCCTCTTATGTGGAAGACTGTGGTTCAATTCCCCAAACGCGAATGTTTCTCCCTTTCTGGTTACCCAGAAATGATAGGGTCAGTTTATGCTTGAGGCCTTGAGTTACCAGTTGGGGCTAGAGTGCATCAATATCTTCCAAAGTCCAATTTAAACGTTCAGTGTTTCCAATCTGTTTTTTTATTCTAAGGTGTTGTCATTGTTTCATTCAGTTCAGTTGATTTTTCAAAAGTTTGCAAAGACAGACTGTAAGGAAGGGCAGAACTGGTCAATAGTGGGGGCTGACATATCTAATATAGAACATAGATAATAGAACAGTACAGCACAGTACAGGCCTTTCGGCCCACGATGTTGTGCCGAACTTTTACCCTAATCCTAAGGTCTATCTAACTTCTACCCCTACCTTATACTATCATCCATATGCCTATCTAGTAGCCGCTTAAATGCCCCTAATGAGGCTGACTCCACTACCCTCTCCGGCAATGCATTCCACACCCCGACCACTCTCTGAGTAAAGAACCTACCTCTGATGACTCCCCTATATCTACCTCCACTCCAGTTTAAAACTATGCCCCCTCGTAATAGCTACCTCCACCCTAGGAAAAAGTCTCTGGCTGTCCACTCTATCTATACCTCTGATCATTTTGTACACCTCTATCAAGTCACCTCTCATCCTTTGTCATTCTAAAGAGAAAAGCCCTAGCTCTCTCAACCTTTCCTTGTAAGACCTACCCTCCATTCCAGGCAACATCCTGGTAAATCTCCTCTGCACCTTTTCCAACGCTTCCACATCTTTCCGATAATGAGGCAACCAGAACTGGACACAATACTCCAGATGTGGCCGAACCAGGGTTTTGTATAGCTGGAGCATAACTTCACGGCTCTTGAACTCGATCCCTCTATTAATGAACGCTAACACACCATACGCCTTCTTAACAACTCTATCCACCTGGGTGGCAGCTTTCAGAATATGTTCTGATGAAAGGTGATCAAGCTGAAACATTAGTGTCTCTCTCCACAGATACTGCCAAATCTCTGATTATTTCCAGCATTTTTGTTCTTATTTCAGATTTCCAGCAATGTAGCGTTCTGCTTTTGCATATGTAATGTTGCATTCTGTTAATGAGCCTATAATCATTAGTTACTGATTTCACACTTCTCCCAACTGGTTTGGAGTGAGACCATAAGATCATAAGAAATAGGAACAGGAGGCCGCTGTTCGGTCTCTCTAGCCTGCTCTGCCATTTAATAGGATTATGGCTGATTGGACATTCCTCACGTTCATTTTCCTGCCCTTTCCCCATAACTCTTCATTCCCCGACTGATCAAGAATTTTTCTATACCAGCCTTAAGTATACATGAGGTCTCTGTCCCCACAGCTCTTTGTGACAAGTAGGTCCAAAGATGCACAACCCTCTGAGAGAAGAAATTCTTTCTCGTCTAGGATTAAATTGGCATCCCTTTACTCTGTAACAAAAACAAAGTTGCTGGAAAAGCTCAGCAGGTCTGACAGTATCTGTGAAGAAAAAAACAGAATTAACGTTTCAGGTCCGGTGACCCTTCCTCGGAACAGTTCTGAGGAAGGGTCACCGGACCCGAAACGTTAACTCTGATTTTTTCCTCACTGATGCTGCCAGGCCTGCTGAGCTTTTCCAGCAACTTTGTTTTTGTTCCTAATTTACAGCATCCGCAGTTCTTTCAGTTTTTATTTCCCTTTATTCTGTGACTGTGCCCTCTGGTCTTAGACTCTCCCAAGAGGGGAAACATTCAGCATTTACCGTCAAACCCCTTAAGAATCCTGTATGTTTCAATAAGATCACCTCTCATTCTTCTAAACACCAGCGACTAGAATCCCAACCTGTTTAGCTTTTGCTCATAAGACAATCCATCCATACCAGGGATCATTCATGTGAACCTTCTCTGAACTGCCTCCAATGAAATTATATATTTCATTAAATAAGGAGATCAAAACCGCTCACAGTTTTCCAGATGTGGTCTCACCAGCACCCTGCACAGTTGCAGTAAGACTTCCCTATTCTTATACTCCAACTCTCTTGAAGTAAAGGCCAACATTGCATTAGCCTTCCTGATTACCTGCTGCACGTGTGTGCTGGCTTTTTGTGTCTCGTGCACAAGACCCCCCAAGGCCTTTTGTGCTGCAGCTTTTTTGCAGTTTTTCTTCATTTAAATAATATTCTGTTCTTTTGTTCTCCTTTCCAACATGAACAACTTCACATTTTCCCACATTATACTCCACTTGCCAACTTTTTGTCTACTTACTTATCAATATCTCTCTGTAAACCGTTTGCATCCCTCTTACAATTTCCCTTTCCAACCATTTTAGTGTTGCCTGCAAATTTGGCGACAGCACATTCACTTCCTTCCTCCAAATCATTAATATATATTGTATACAATTGTGGTCCCAGTACAGATCTCTATGGAACCCCACTCGTCACGGGTCACCAACCTGAAAAGAAACCACTTATCACCATTTGCTGTTTCCTGCCCATGAGCCAATTCTCTATCTACATCACTATACTACTTCCAACACTGTGGGCTCTTATCTTCTGACTTAGCCTTTTGTGAGGTATCTTATATGGAACTCCAAATATAACACATCTACTGGACCCCCAAAGATTTGACATTGAGCGTAACGAAAGGCAGGTCACTATCTAAAATTTCTTATTACTCCATGGGAACTTTAATATGGATTGGTGTGAGTGGGAGAGAGGACAGCCTTCATCACATCACCATCCAGTGCATAGTTAGGACACTTGATGCAGCTTGAGTGAGGTCAGAGAGGTTCCTGGTTTCAAGTAAACCTTTTACTGAAGACAAGTCTCCCTCTCTCTCTCCCTCGCTCTGCTCCTCTGTCTCCCTCTCTCTCTATTTCTCAAAATTCCAGTCACACTTTCACTTACTCTGTCTCATTTTCTACCACTGTTACATTCTCTCTCTCACACGTACAGCTTTTCAGTGACAGTAACCATAATTCAGTTAGATTTAAGGTGTTTATGGGTATGGATCAAGATAAAGATTGACAGGAAATAAAGTTTCAGAACTGGGGAAGGCCGATTTTAATAAGACAAGACTGGATCTGACTAAAACGGACTGGGAGCAGCTATTCAAAGGAAAATCTGCAGTGGGAGACATTTCAAAGGGTAATATCAAGAGTATAGGGCCAAAATGTTCCCAGAAAGGGGAAGGGTGGGACCAACAAGTCCATAGAATCTTGGCTGTCAAGAAATGTACAGGATTGAATAAAGAAAATAAACAAGCTGTTGGTAGATACCGAAGGCTCCAAACAATGGATGTCTTAAAACAATATAGAAAATGCAGGGGCTTACTTAAAAATACCAGTTAGAGTGAGGAGGGAACCTGAGAAAGCACTGGTGTATAGCATTAAGGAAAATTCAAAGACATTTTTTGAAGTATATTAGGGGCAAAAGCATAACCAGAGAAAAATTAAGGTCCAATGGGGAAAAAAAGTACCAATGTATGTGCGGAGCCAGAAGATGTAGCTGAGGTTTTAAATGTACTTTGCATCTGTATTCACTGTAGAGGCGGACAACGTAGGTATAGAAATCAAGGAGATGAACTGTGATATATTTAAACAAATTAGCATGAAGATAGGGGAGGTATGAAGAGTTTTAGCAGGCTTGAAAGTGGATAAATCCCGAGGTCCAGATGAATGTATCCAAGGCTGCTATGGGAGTAAGGGAGGAAATTGCAGGGCTCTCACATTCATTTTCAAATCTTCTCTGGACACAGGAGGACAGCTAATGTAGTACCATTCTTCATTAAGGGTGGTAAGGACAAACAAGGAAACTAGAAACCAGTGAGTCTAACATCTATGCTGGAAGCTTTTGGAAGAAAATCTGAGGGACAGAATTAATCTCTAATTGGAGTGGCAAGGATCGATTAATTGGCATGTCATGGCTTTGTAAGGTGGAGATCATTCTAACAATTAGAAATAATTTTTTGAGGCTGTAACTAGGCCTTCATGTGTGGGTAGTGAATTTGGTGTGGTCTACACAGACTTAGGTTTATGATAAGGTCTCATATGACAGACTAGTTAAGTAGCTAAGAGCCCATTGGATCCAAAATTTGCTTAGTGGCAGGAAGCAGATGATAATGGTCAAAAGGGCGTTTGTGTGACTGGAAGCCTGTGTCCAATGGGTTTTCCACAGGATTCAGTCCCTTGTTGTTTGTTGTGTACATTAATGATCTAGACATGAATGTAGGGGTATGATCAAAAAGTTTGCAGATGTTATAAAATTTGTGGTGTGGGAAATTGTGAGGAGGAAAACCTTAGAAGACAAAATGATATAAATGGGCTGGTCAGATTGGCTGAACAGTGGTAATTGGAATTTAATCCTGAATGGTGTGAATTGATGCACTTTGGTAAGACTAACAAGGCAAGGAAGTATTTGACGAATAGTAGGGCCCTAGGAAGTACAAAGGAACAGAGGGACCTTGGTGTGCATGTCCATAGATTCTTGAAGATAGCAGGACAGGTAGATAAGATGGTTAAGAAGGCGTATGAGATACTTGCCTGTATTAGGCAAGACATTGAATAC